TAGGGTTTAGGGTTTAGGGTTTAGGGTTTAGGGTTTAGGGTTCAGGGTTCAGGGTTTAGGGTTTAGGGTTTAGGGTGATTCCTGAAGTCAATGCTGGACCGTAAGCCGCAGCCATCCTTTGAATGTCTCTAAAATCATTAGAGGGTTAGAATCCTAAACCGTAAACGTCTGCTCTGTCAGTCCGTTGCAGGAGCCTAAATAGCTTTCCAAGATCACCCCACATAATCATCCTTTAACAACGCTATGCATGAACTCTTGTATGAGTTTCGCCCTGCCTTCAAGGCCGGAAAGCCCAGAAGGTGATTCAGGGCTGATTTATAGGGTTTGGAGTGGCACGTACTTGTTTTCAATAGCTTCAATCGGTTCAATTGAAGGCTTCATTAACCCTAACCCTACACCCCCAAAACCCAGGCCCTTAATCCAAAATTGTCCGGTGCGCCTGCCCCCCCCCCCTGGCATTGAGCACCGCCGGCTTTCCTAAGCTATTCTACCTCTCGTCTGTCTGACCTCCTATATAGAATGACGTCCCTTTTCAGCAGACTCGGCGTGGCATTCATCTGACCCTGCATCGTCACAAGCGGGCTAGAAGCACCTTAGCTGTTCTTTTGTCGGGCAACAGAACCAGCATGTTTCTCCTGCACTGATCTCATAGGCACTCTCATGTGTAAAACTGACTGCGTTTTGGAGTAGTACACTTTATTACTTTTTTGGTTCTAGGTTCCTATGATAGCTACATATACCTAGAAAGTTTCTACTTTTGTTCCAGGGTTTACTCCAAAGCAGGTAAACCCCAAAGCTCTGCTTGGCTGTTGCCAGGATCCAGAAGCTGCAGGCGAAACTGAAAAACCTCCAGGCAGCCCCTCTCCAGTCCTATCTTCGCGAATCCCCGCACGAGCTTCGGTTTAGGGGCTTCGGGTTTAGGGCTTAGGGCTTGTTGGTTTAGGGTTTAGGGTTTAGGGTTTAGGGTTTAGGGGGTCGACTGCTACAGCAAGTAGCAGCCCACAGTACCTAGGAGCCACATGCTAGCCAGGCTTCAAAAGATAGTGCTAGGCTCATCTTCAAGGCAGCTTATAAAAAAGTGCATTTCTGAATATGGGAATAGCGATCTAAATTAGGGTCCCTTTTGGGGGTCCTTATTAGCAAGGTGCCGGATTACATAGGGGACCCAAAAAGGGATTTAGAAAACTACCAATGTGCTCAGCTGAATCACTGAAGTATATACAGGCTTTCACCGGCGGCCTCCAGGAGTCCCAACATAGGGTTTAGGGTTTAGGGTTTAGGGTTTAGGGTTTAGGGTGTAGGGTGTAGGGTGTGGGGTGTGGGGTGTGGGGTGTGGGGTGTAGAGTGAGAGCTTTCTTGTTCAAGCTGGATACGTAGGTCCCCACTCTGGCGGCCTTCTCTGAAGTATGATCCCTTTCGACCTACGAGGATGGTCAGGTTTCGGTATCCTCCTTCTCCCTCTCCGCAGCTAGCCGACCTCAATCCACCCCCCGCCTGTTCTCTAAACCCTGCCTAGGGTTTAGGGTTTAGGGTTTAGGGTTTAGGGTTTAGGGTTTAGGGTTTAGGGTTTAGGGTTTAGGGTTTAGGGTTTAGGGTTTAGGGTTTAGGGTTTAGGGTTTGAAGCCGAAGCTGCTAAAGCACAGGCAGAGAGAGACGAACAGATCCACGAGCCGCGGGCTCAGAGAGGGGGGTGACGGGGTTAGCTTAAAGGTTTCAAACAGGGTGGGTTTAGGGCTTAGGGCTTAGGGCTGCCTGTTATTATGAGAAAGGGGCGTTTGAATCTGGATTGAATCGTGGATTGTAGGATTCAGGATATTCTTTTGCTGGAGCTCCCCACTTGTCACTCCTAAAGTTTGCGAACTGCCCTCAATGTGTTCGTGTGTTTTTTCACACTGGCGCCCGATATTCGCTCTTCGGAAGAAGGTGCTGCAAACACCCTAAACCACGTGTATTGTGCGCGGTCGGCCACCCGAATTCTTGGCTTCGCTTTCGGCTCCAGAACGCAGTGCCTGAAAGGGCTTCCAGGGGGATCAGGGCTTAGGGTTTCGATCCCCCGAAAGTGCTGTAGGAGTCGATCCCCCGAAAGGGCTTCGGGAGTTGATTCCCGCCCCCAACCCTCAGTGAAGCTGAGAGGCTGCAAGCTGCGCTGGAGCATCGGGAGGACGCGCAGGCGGCCCTAAACCCTAAACCCTAAACCCTAAACCCTAAACCCTAAACCCTAAACCCTAAACCCTGAACCCTCAAAAGTGCTGGAAGGATTTGGGTTCCGTGAGCCGGGCAGGTTCAGGTTGAACATGTAATAGTCGTCCGGCTCATGGTTCAGGATCAGGGTCTGAGGGTGGGTGTGAAGGCCTGGCCCGGGGCGATGGCTGAGATTTCAAACGGGGTATGAATCTTAGGGAGATTCTGTCAAACGATCTTAAGCCGGTAAAAAACAATTTAAAAACGAATCTGATTGTATGAAGTGTTCTGGTCGTGCTCTTTGTTTTCTTGGATTCTACTCGCCATGACGCTCAGTGTTCTGGTTGAGAGGCATATGGCTGGTACATGTTGAGGGAGTCCCCCCACGCCACACGTATTCAGGAGCGAGGTCCCTGTTCCTTCGCTTCTGCCACCGGATAAAGCAGGACAAAATAGTTTAGGGTTTAGGGTTTAGGGGTGTGAGGTGGCAATGGAGAGGGGCTTGCTAACTTTGCAACTCTGCGGGCGTTCGCACACGCCGTCCACAAGCAAGGCTTCTGAGAACATGCTGAGCATGGAGCTTCTCCCTCAGCAGGGTTTGCTACAGATTTCTGGCTTAGGGTTAGGGCCCAGGGATTTCGGATTCACAGGGGTGGCGCACATTTCCTTTTGTGCACCACTGTTTCGCTTTGGCGAATGGCCGGCACGCCCCGCAGAAAAAATTGCACATCGGAGACATGTTTCGTTTTGGTCCCTTTGCCTATTTGTGGTTTCGGTTTGGGGGCTCAATTCTGCATAACATCGAAGCCTGCTCAGGCCTTAAGATTCGAAGATTCCCTGTTGTGACGACAGCGCACGTCCAACTACACAATGAATATACATGCATTGGATACAAATAGATGCATACGCAGGCAGCCATGTGTATATTAATGTTTTTAGAACTTTAGCACGGGCATTGTTGGTTTGCGAGCTGTAGCTGTGGCTGTGTTGTGGATGGCTTCATGAAATGGCCTCCCACTATCCTTACAATTCTACTACACGGTACTACATTACCATCACACGCTCTTATGCTATTTGCTGCGAAATGTTATATCATCCTATGCTATACCCTAAACCCTAAACCCTAAACCCTAAACCCTAAACCCTAAACCCTAAACCCTACACTCTACTGCCCTACTATGTATTATATCAGATTAGATGGTTGTTGATTTTTTCTTGTTTTCGGGTCATACCTCCCAGGGTCGGGTGTGGCCCAGGCTACACAAAGTCGGCCAGCAGCTGCATGAAAGTGAGGCCACAAAGCTCCTCCGAGCTGACTTCGGAGAGCGCAGCATGCGGGGGGTTTAGGGTTTAGGGTTTAGGGTACAGGGTTTAGGGTTTAGGGTTTAGGGTTTAGGGTTCGGGTTTAGGGTAGCAACAGGGGGTCGGTTGAGAGCGAGAGTCGATGAACTCTTCTCTCTGGCGTGGGCCTCAAACCCACCGTGGATCCTCAATGCACCCTAAAAACCTAAACCCTAAACCCTAAACCCTAAACCCTAAACCCTAAACCCTAAACCCTAAACCCTAAACCCCTAAACCCCTAAACCCCTAAACCCAAAAGGGGGCAGCAACAGGCAAACTCAACGCTAGAAGACTCTGGCCAAGACATTGATCTCAGCCAAAAAATGGCTGTGGGCTTTCCTACAGTTCCCCTGCGTGATGTGACCCATGTGACTTGCAGTAGTTTTTACCCTAAACCCTAAACCCTAAACCCTAAACCCTAAACTGTGAACACGCCGTTTCCTGCATCTGGAACTCGGAGAGGGCCGTTCTTCCTTTTTTAGGGTTTAGGCTTTAGGGTTTAGGGTGAGTTCCCTTAAGGCGTTCGATTCCACAACTTTGCACACCCCTGCAAGAAAGGGACTTTGGCATCTAGATCTGGTAACTAAAAATGGGTTTTGTAGTTGCTTTTGCATTTGCTTGTTTGTTTTAATGTGGCATCTTTTTTTCGATATGCATATTTTATTCTGCCGCTACCACCATCATAATCCGTCCTAGTGGTTCCCGTCGGAGGCGGAAGTGGAAAAGCTTCGCAACCTGCTCGGGGCTGAGTCTGTGATTGCACAGCTCACCTGACTGATGTAAGGTTGTGATGTTGCCACAGACAATGTGTGCCAGACCGGACTCGATGGGGGGCAGACCTGGGCGGGTTTAGGGTTTACGTAGGACCCAGAAATTTTGCCAAGGCCTGTGGGGTTGTGTGTAAGTGCAGTGCTTGAAAACACGACACCTTGCAACAGCAGTAGCTCTTTAAAGCGAGGAACGAGGATTCCACATGCAATCGCGGTACAAGTGATAGCCATGGCAACAGCCTGGGGAAAATACGTGTGCCGGGTGTCAGCTTGCGACTTGGCCCAAGGCTCCACACGGCCCGCGAGGAGGCGCATGATGCACAGGCAGCACTGCCAGCTCACCTTGCCTAGACAACGGATGAACTTTCAACGCTCTGGCGCTTCTTGCTGGAGAATTTGCAGTATACAGGGCTTTGAAGAATTTAACCTTTTAAGTGCAGACCCATGATCGACTGCGTCAACATGTGCTGTGTCGGTGTTGACTGGTGTATGGATGAGATCCTGAATCGTTGTAGCGTGTTGTTTTTCATGACGCCAAGAAGCTTTGCTTTAGCCTCTGAATGTCGTACTGAATTTCGTACAGAGGCAGTGAAGGTCTCAGACTTCTATAAGTTCTCTTCTTTTTGTGTATAGGGATAGGCTGTCTTGCTTTTTTTTTTTTTTTTAAATCTGGGGCTGCTGATCTGCCGGCAGCCATGATCGGAAGTCATGGGCAGAAAGGTGCATGCGAGGTCGTGACAGGCATCTTGTCTTAGCCAGGATCCGAAAACTAGGGGACCAAACGAAGCCTGAATTCGGGATCGCAGACACAAAATAGTAAGATCACAATCCCGACATATATTGCCCTTACAAGGAATACTTGCTTTGTGTGTGTGTGTTTTTTGGTTTGGGGGAGGGAGCGGGGGGTTCTGTCTACTCTTTGCTTAAGAACGCCCTCAAAAAAAGCTATAAGTAGGGGCATATAGGCAAGGTAAGCAAGATTATGGCCTTAATTAAGGTAGAAATTCGCCCTGCATGCCTGCTACTCTTTGCTTAAGAACCCCCAAGAAACATTAAGATAACAAACCAAGGAAGACTGTTTTGTTTTGCTTTGTTTTGTTTGATTTGTTTTTTAAAGTCTTGTTCTTTTTTTTGGGGGGGGGTTCTTACAGAAGTAGTCTAGTCTACTAGTTGCTTCAGAACCCCCTCAAAAAAAAGCTATAAGAAGGAGCATATAGGCAAGGTCAGCAAGATTATAACCTTAGTTGAGGTGGAAGTTCGCCTTACTTAGAACTACTAGTTGCTTAAGAACCCCCCCCCCCCTAAGAAACATTAAGATAACAATCTCTATATTGCCCTTATAAGGAAGGCTTATTTTTTTGATTGGGGGGGGGGGGGGGGGGGCCGGGGGGGTTCTCAAGGGAATAGTCTACTAGTTGCCTAAGAACCCCCTAAAAAGCTACAATACAAGTAGGGGTATATAGGCAAGGCAAGCAATATTATTGCCTTGGTTAAGGCACTTCTTACCCTACAAAAAACTACGATTTGCTTAAGAACCCCCGCCGGACATGAGATAACAAACCCTACGTTGCCATAAGGAAGAGTATATGTTATTCTTGGGGTGGGGTTCTTAAGAAGATAGTAGTCTGGGTTTAGCGTTAACTGCCCACACACCCAACTCTTCAAGCTTGAGCGGTTCAGGGAACCCCCTTCCCCCCACCTCCTCACCCCCTCGCCCCCCCAACGCTTCGATGACACTGTGCAATGGGAGGTTTGCTGTAGATCCCCACACCTTAACCCTACACCTAAACCTGCGAGGCAGCCGAAAGTCAACAGACCCGCGAGCCCATTGCCCGGGAAAAACTTGAGGTTTACCAGGTTTAGGTTGGGATGCTCCCCTTATGCTAACATTCCTTAAAAAGGATCATAATAGGGGCCACTATGCTCCCTACTAAGGACTGTTCGTATAAGGGGGAACATCCCAAGGTTTAGGGTTTAGGGTTTGCCTTGCCTCTCAAATCAAGGGATTCAGGCTCGTAACCCTAAGGTTGTACCCCTAAAGGTTCCCCTCAAAATGCTCCTAATATGGCCCTTGTATTCCATTAGGGATCTCTAAAACAGGTCCCCAAAACGCAAGGTAGTTACAACCTCAAGAGTTTGAGGGTTTCGGTAGCTGTTGGAGGGTGTGTGGGTTCAAAAGAGCTTAGGGTTTAGAGAGTAAACCCTAAGCCCCAAATCCTCCTGCTTTCCTGGGCTTCTGCTGGGGCAGTTTATGGTTCAGTTCTTGTTCCTTTTCCCCTTAAACTGAGACGGGCTCTGTGGCTTCTTGCTCTCGGAGCTTTCACGCCTAAGCCTTTTCTGCCTAAACCCCTTGGAGCCCGATATGATTTTCCGAAGGTCGTCCGGTATATGCTATATGGGTAGTTTCCTAAATTAGGGTCCCCCTTTGGGTACACATTATAAGGCGGCACCCTTTAAAAAGGGGATCCCAAAAAAAGGACCCTAATTTAGAAAACTACCCATATGCCCAGCTCTATGCCCTTGTGGAGAGATGTGGGTGGCGGTCAGGCGAAGCCCCGGATTCCAAAGCCTCAGGATTGAGAGTTGCGGCAGGCTTGCGGCCTGGGGGTTTAGGGTTGAGTTACCAGGATGGGCTATTATACCCTATAACTAACCCCTTGAAAAGGCCCCTTTTTCGGGTTGATTATAGGTATTATGGGGATTATAAGGCCTGATAGCCCATCCTGGCAGACCCACAGCAACCCCCAACTATGCCGAGCGGCTGGAGCCCGGTACGCAACAGAAGCTGCGCACGGTTCATAGGGGCCCCGCCGCGCCGAGGCTGAAGAAGGTCGGCATGCAGCTGCACGATGCACAGGCACGGGGCTGGGCAAGCCTTAGGGGGAAGTTCCGGGCAACTTTTGGCATGTTGAGCACATTGCCTTTCAGATGCAGGAAGACAATGGGGTTTCGGGGCCAGATGCGCCCAGTGCATTTCAAAGCTTGCCACTTCGTACGTCGCACATCTCGCGGGTGTCTGTGACCCGTCGGCTCTCTCTCCCGTCTAAACCGTGTGGAGGACGAGGTGGCGAGGTTGGAGAAGGAGCGTGGAACCAAGGGTACCGCAACGTGTTTGCTGACTCAGTTCACGGCTGGGTGGCTAAACATTTCCCGCGTGGGTATAGTTCTCTAAATTACGGTCCCCTCAGACACACAGTGCAGCAAAAATTAGGGCCCCTAGTTGGGTCCCCTTTATAGTACCGCACTTAGGTACAACAAGGACTTGACAAGAACCCCCCAAAAGAGGGACCCTACTTGAGAGGACTACCCACATCACCAGTAACGCCCCATGCCCACGAGAGCCAAATGGGCCCCCCCTAGGGCTCCGCGATGCAAAGCCATGCCTAGCCCCAAATGCCATTTCGCCACTTTAGACGATTCTTGTCGGTAGGAATAGAGACCTTCCTTCAGGGCAAGAAGTGCCGGTTCGGGGTTCGGGGTTCAGGGTTCAGGGTTCAGGGTTCAGGGTTTAGGGTTTAGGGTTTAGGGTTTAGGGTTTAGGGTTTAGGTTTAGGGTTTAGGGTTTAGGGTTTAGGGTTTAGGGTTTAGGGTTTAGGGTTTAGGGTTTAGGGTTTAGGGTTTAGGGTTTAGACCCGTCTACAATCGAGCCTGCAGTTGCTTGGCTATAAGGCTCCGGTCGACGCATGACCAGATGCACAACACGGAGGCCGAGCCAGCAACCGATAACCCTCTGGCGGCTTATGAACCCCAGAAACACCACCCAAAAAATCGTATCGAAGCCCTAGAAGCCCCATAAACCTTAGAAACCCTATGAAACCCTTGAAACCCTAGAGAAACCACATAAACCAAAACCCCAAAGCCTGGCTTCCCTATGGCATTTTCAGGTTCGTGCGTGTGTGTGGGAACACTCAGAGACCTATAAACCCTAGAAACCCTATAAACCCCCGTAACGCCTAGAAACCCCAGAAACCCCATAAACCATAACCCATCATCCCACCGGGCACCGCTGCCTCTCCTCCAGACACCCAACTGCTTTCCTTGAGAAGATGTGTGCTCAGCAGCTGGATCGTCAACCTGACATGGCCCAAAACAGGGGCCCCCAAAATATACTCAACAACACTTTGCTCCCTATACTCAGGGGCGTCCCAAATGGGTACCTTAAACCCTAAACCCTAAACCCTAAACCCTAAACCCTGTCGGAAACCCCCAAGCCTTCAACCCGAAGACCTCGGACAACATGCTGACAATGGAGCTGGGCCCTCGGACCAAAGTTACTTGAAGGTGCATGGGCAGTTGCCAGTCACTCAAAAGTACCTAAGTGCAGGGTAGGATATGAGTTCCCTTCCTTACATGATAGCCCTGCTTCTAGCTGCCCATGAACCTTCATGCAGGTGACCATGAGTGCCATTCTGATTGCATGTACAACCTTGCATAATCCCTAAGCGCTGTCCACTGCTATAACCCCATGTGGTCAGTTCTCCAAATTAAGGATCCCTTTTTGGGGGGGTACACATATTCGAGGCCGCCTTAATAATGGTGACCCCAAAAGGGGCCATAGATTTGTTAAGTGGCCATGAGGGAAATCCTCAATCCTGAGGTGTCCATATCAGCCCCCCCCCCCCAGGCATGTACTTTCCTGGCTCTTCGGAGGGAATGTGGGACTTGGTTCTTGGTCAAAAGGTCCTAAAAAATAATAAGGGGGGGGTCCCAAAATAGGACCCTAACCCCTAGACCCTAGACCCTAAACTCTAAAAGGATACGGCTGCAACTCTTTTGGGGTATAGAGGTACCCCCCACTTCGGGAAAACCCCCCCATCTAAGGGGATACGAAGTAGAAGGTGCCCCCCAAAGCTCCTTAAGTGTTCAAGCTCCTTGAGTTAGGGTTTAGGGTTTCGGGTTCGGGCTTCGGGTTTTGGGTTTAGGGTTTAGGGTACAGGTTGAGGGTTTAGGGTTTAGGGTTTAGGGTGTAGGGTTTAGGGTTCAGGGTTCAGGGTTTAGGGTTTAGGGTTTAGGGTTTGGGGTTTTCAGCTAATGCCCGATGCTTTCCTAGACACAGTTCCTGAGTGATCGGCGCGGCAGAGCCCGCGAAGCTCGCTCTCGAATGGCATGGTTTTCGTCCCTGGCAGGCAGTGCAGTAGTCCTAGCCGTAAAAAGGGTTTAGGGTTTAGGGCTTAGGGTTTAGGGTTTAGGGTTTAGGGTTTAGGGTTTAGGGTTTAGGGTTTAGGGTTTAGGGTTTAGGGTTTAGGGTTTAGGAACTTGGGAACTTAGGCACAAGGTCACCTGAGAGACCGCGCCTGGCGTCCGAGGCTTCAAAAGCTTGGCCAGCAGCTTCAAGACGCTCAGGCCGGGGGCGATCGTTGGTTTCTGAATGTTGAGGGTTTTGGGGTTTTGGGTTTGGGGAGTGGGGTTTAGCGATCGTTGGTTTCTGAATGTTGAGGGTTTTGGGGTTTTGGGCTTGGGGAGTGGGGTTTAGGGTTGAGGGTTGAGGGTGAGAATTATTTTTTGGGGTTTGAATTTGCACTTGAGTTGCTTTAAGAACCTCAAGCCCTAAACCCGGAGCCCTTTTTGAAGTCAGGCTTGTGTTGTTAAGGTTCGTTGGAGGGTGTTGCATCAGGTTTTGTGTAGGGTGGGCGTTTAGGTCTTTTTGTTGAGTGGGTTTAGGGTTGAAAGGGCTGATCGGGTTTGTAGGTTTAGGGTTCCGGGCTTGTTTCGGTGAACTCTGACCTGCAAAATCTCCATTAGACGAAGGAATTCATGGTTGGAGAAGTTACAAAGCATGTGTGGCAATCTTTCAGACTTCTGGGGATGATGCTTGACTGCATTTCCTGAGAACAGCATGCGTCTACATGGTTCGTCCGAGTTCTGGGGGCCGCGAACGTTACGATGCAAAGCTTGCCTGTTGCTGAGCAACCAGCACCCTGTGCCTAAACCCTAAACCCTAAACCCTAAACCCTAAACCCTAAACCCTAAACCCTAAACCCTAAACGGGGTTTTAGGATGCTTGGGCTGGAACGGCAGCATGCCAGTGGGAGGCGGAAGTCGCCAGGCTGGAGAAAGAGCAGGGTCCCGAGTTTTTGTTTCTGATCAGGGTTTAGGGTTTGGGGTTTAGGGTTTAGGGTTTAGGGGCTCCTTACGATTCATGTTGTGCATGGGTTGATCTTGCAGAGATGTCAGTTCTGATCCCAGTTGCCGCATCATTCCCATGTGGCAGCTGGTATCTTGTAGCGCCTTGACCTTTGTGGTACTTTACTGTAACTTTAGATCCTTACCTTTTTTGGGTTTATTGGTTTTCTTATTAAGGCAGCTAAAAGTTTAATTTATAGCTACCCTCCTGAGTGCAGCCAAGTGACGTTCATCTTGCTGCCTTCTCCACCGGCTGGCTCAAGTCACCGCCACCTGCGTTTGGGGAGGTGCGATGCCCGGTTTAGGTGTTTTGCATGGCCAAGTGTCTTCCTAGGACTGTTAAAGGTTTAGGGTTTAGGGTTTAGGGTTTAGGGTTTAGGGTTTAGGGTTTAGGGCTTAGGGCTTAGGGCTTAGGGTTTAGGGTTCAGGGTTCAGGGTTCAGGGTTTAGGGTTTAGGGCTGTTAAAGATTCCTGCATATTTCTTCAGCCAGGGTCGACCACTCGTCTGATCGAAGAGTGCTCGGTAAGACTCTTTTGTTAGCTATGCCGGCGCGGTCGGGGAAGAACGCCAGGCCCTCGACGTGTCGCTTATCTTGCTCCAAAACTGCGGTTGGACCAGCACTCCAAGCCAACCTGTTGGAGTGGGCACCTTCGATAGAGTCTACCATGCTGTTGACTTCACGCTCGTCTCGCAGCAGTTTTGGCTAATTTTAAAGGTGTATGCAGAGCCCTCAGCAAGTCATGGGCCAATTCCAAGACACAAATGCCAAAGTCAACCTATTGCATGAGACAGGCAACATGTTACCCAGCTCGTGGGTCTGCAGCGAAACAAGGCTGCAACCCTTGAAGGGCTTGGAATGCCCGGGCTTGTCCCCCGGTCCTGCTACAGCAGGTATTGGTAACGTTGAAGACCTCCTCAAGTAGACCTAACGTCACAGTATTCCCTCAAACGGGCGGGGATTACGATCTAGGTTCGACTTCAGAGGAAGTCATCTCCACAAAGCCATGCCCAACTCGGAATTGTCCAACCTGAGCTGTGACCACTGCGGCCGTTTGGGGGCCCTCCTCCAGTGCGGGAAGTGCAAGGAGGCTTGGGGGGGCTTAGGGTGTAGAGGGTCCACAGAGATAGCCCCACCCCTCCCCCTCCCCTCCCCCTGTGCCTCACCCTAAACCCTAAACCCTAAACCCTAAACCCTAAACCCTAAACCCTAAACCCTAAACCCTAAACCCTAAACCCTAAACCCTAAACAGGTGGCCTACTGCAACTTCACCTGCCAGAGGGATGGCTGGAAGTTGCACAAGGTCTGCTGCGGCAAGGCGACACCGCAAAACAGCCGCGAAGCGGCAGCCCCTCTGCCAACGCAAGGCGCCACGCTTAAGTCTCACAGTAGTTTATGGTTTAGGGTTTAGGGTTCGCGTTCTGATGCAGTTGAAGCTGTGAGCGGTTGGAGAATCAGCATGAGCGCTCGATTCTGAGGCACACCGGAGCCACCGGCGGCCCCAAAAGCACCGAAGGTCGAGTGGTCCGCATCCACAGCTCCCCTTCGAACTCTGCCTCGGGTGACAGTTGCCAAGTCCCAGCATCTGGGATTGAGACAAGCCGTTGCGGTCCAATTTGTTGCCGTAAAACCCTACAAAAATGCTTACGTGTGCTGCGCAGGAGCGTGTTCTTCTTGGTAAGTCTATCCCGGTCAAGGGAGACAATGAGCCGATACATCTGCACCAGAGCATACTTGAAGGCTCTCCTGGGTAGTTCTAAGAAGAGTTAGAAGTAAGGTACCCTATATTATAACCTTAATTCAGGTACTTCTAACCACACCCCTGAACCTTCAAGTAGAGCCGAGTTTGAGCAAGAAGCAGGCCTCTCCCCACAGAGAGGCCTCGAATTCAACTCTGAGCCTCCAACCCTGAAGCCCCAAGCCGCTGCCCGTACAACCCGCGCACGAACGCTCAGTATATAAAGCCTGACCCGAAACCCGAAGCCTTAAGCCCTAAGCCCTAAACCCCAAACCCTAAACCCAGGACACACAGGCCCAAGGTGGAAGAGTTCTTCGACCGCGAGGAGCTGGAGCCCGGCCTCTTAGGTGCTTTGGTAACTTTTTGACCCATAGTTTGGGTGCTCTAGGGTTAAGGTTTAGGGTTTAGGGTTAGGGTTTGTGCAGCAGTCCTTTAGGGTTTGGGGTTAGGGGTCAGGGTTTAGGGTCTGAAACAAGGGTTTAGGGCCCTTCCCCTTCCCCTTTTTTTCCATGAGTAGCCCCCCTCCCCGCCTCCCTCCCCCCCCCCCCCCCCCCCCTCCCCCCCCTCCCCCCCGCCCCGAGACCCCCCCTGCAAAAAAAAATAAAACCAAAAAACAAAAAAACAAAAAGCTCAGACGGGAAGGCTTGGCCGTCGCCGGGAAGGCAAAGAAGAACTCCAAGTCGGACGCTTTCAACTACAGCAACTTTCAGTCTGCAGAGCTAGGGTTTGGGGTTTGGGGTTTCGGGTTTAGGGTTTAGGGTTTATGGTTTAGGGTTTAGGGTTTAGGGTCTCGGTGTAGGGTTTGGGGACTTGGGTTTGTGTAGGGCTAAGTGCACGCGAAGATTGTATAAGATTCTTTTGAAACCGACAAAACATATGGCTAGGGCGTTTGGCATTTGAAATGTTATTCCGGCTTTCCTCTTTTTGGCCTTGCTTGCACCTTAACCCCAAACCCCAAACCCCAAACCCTCAACCCCAAACCCCAAACCCCAAACCCCAGACCCCAAACCCCAAACCCTAAACCCTAAACCCCTCCAAGGCAAGTGGGACAACATGTTCGACAGCGACGACGAGGCAAAGAAGACCAAGGAGACGAAGGTCTTCGGCTCATCGCGGCAGCCGATGCATGGACAGCCCATGGGCATGACGCCAGCGCGAAATCCGAATCTTAGGCGTGCTTGGGAATGCTTTTTCCTTTAAAAACTTTTGGGGGGTGCGATAGTTCCTCAGAAACAGCTGAAATGATGATTTTTGCTAGGGTTTTCGAGTTCAGTAGAGGAATGGGGACACCAAACGCGTGTCCACGGCTCAAGCCAAACAGGAGGCCCGGTCGGCCTTGGAGGAGGCAGAGAAGTTTCTCCATGCCGTGGCGGCCGAAGTCTTACATCAGGCTGGCACCATGGGACCAGGTAGCGTTCCTCGGCGCGCCAAGGTTTGGGGTTTAGGGTTTAGGGTTTAGGGTTTAGGGTTTAGGGTTTAGGCTAATCTAGGGTATTTTTAGCAGGTTCTTTTGGAAAGAGGCGAACCCCAAGAACCAAGAACACGCGCCGGATTCCACACTCGTCGCAAGAACCTTGTGAGAGAAGCCAGTGGAGGGTGCAATCCAAGAGACCCGAAACCCTAATTGGAATCCCAAGAGACCCTAAGCCCTACTTGGAATTCCAAGAGCCCCTAAACCCTAAACCCACAAGGTTTGGGTCTTGGGCCCCGAAGCTGAGAAGACTGCTCGGCGGTGCCTCCGGATCCTCAACACGCGCGTGCTACCCATCCTCCCAGACGACTCCCTGGCCCAGCCCCTTGGGCGCTGGACCTTAAGGCGTACCCTAAACCCGCAGTAACCTAGTAGTAGCGTAGGTAACCTTTAACCTTCTTGGGGTAGTATAATCCCCTTCTATTGCCAAAGGTCAACCGTAAATTTCCCCAGGTTACTGGACAACTAAGGGAGCTGGACCTTAAGCCGTACTTTAAACCCTAAGCCCTAAACCCTAAACCCATCTAAACCCTAAACCCTAAACCCTAAACCCGAAGCCTAAGGTTCCTCCAGGGATCAGCGAACTACTTCCTCCGCCGGGCCACGGAGATTCGTGACCACGAGAGCCTTGGAGATGTGCTCTAGGACCCAGACTAGGCTCTCGTTCCCCTTTTTTTCATTTTCGGGTTTCGATTATTTTTTTTGGGGGGATTAATGTTTCCTTATATAGACTAGGCTTTTGTTCCCTTTTTGTCTTCTTCTTTTTGGGGTTTAGATATGTTTGTTTTGTCTTTTTCTTGGGGGGGGGGGTAAACGAACAAGAAAAGTTTAAATTCTTTTTTTGGGGGGGGTTAATGTTTCCTTAAAGAGAGTAGGCTATTGTTGCCTTTTTAGGGTTTAGGTTCCCTATAAGAAAAGGTTACTCCTGGGCCTAGTGCTTGCTCAGCCGAGAGTCGAACTTCGAACTTCGTTTGGGGGGGGGGCTTCCCAGGGTTTGGGGTTTAGGGTTTAGGGTTTAGGGTTTAGGGTTTAGGGTTTAGGGTCAACTTATTCTTACTGATGCACGCATATCAAAAAGAATGCCTGGCTTGTTGGCTCCAGGATTTCGCCCTAAGCTGCAGTTCTCCTCTCTAGGGCCTCTAGGGTTCGGGTGTGAGGGCTAAAGTCTCTCGACTGTACCCTAAACCCTAAACCCTAGACCCTAAACCCTAAACCCTAAACCCTAGACCCTAAACCCTAAACCCTAAACCCTAAACCCTAAACCCTAAACCCTAAGCCCTAAACCCTAAACCCTAAACCCTAAACCCTAAACCCTAAACCCTAAACCCTAAACCCTAAACCCTAACCCTAAACCCTCACAGCATTTCAGGAAGAAGAAGGTGGCCTCGAGCGCCAAGGCTGCGTTGCTGCAGGTACACCGTGCCTCGGGCATTGACGAGTTGGGTTTGAAGGGGTTTTCGTAGCCTACCGTCTACCGTAGTGCTTGAAGGTTTGTGGGTAGTGATATAAGTAGGGTTACATGGACCTCACATAAGCTGAGCTGTTTTAAGGGCTGAGATCAAGCGTATTCTAGCATGTAGAAAAGTAGAGGTCGAACAGTGCGATCCAGAAGCACGCGAAGTCAGCACACAAAGTCAGCTATGAATGTGGATGCAGGGAGGTTCATGCGTGAGGAAGCTCCAACCCTAAGCCCTAAACCCTAACCCTAAACCCTAAACCCTAAACCACAGCCCACAATGCGAAGGTCAGGGCTGTTTTGGAGGGTTCAGGAGTCAGGCTTCTCTCGGAAGAGGGCTTTGAGCTTGTGGATATATTTGTTTTGGCAGCGGGCTGGGAGTCCCTTTCCGGCTAAAAGTTGTTGGTGCCCTTGGGTGTAGGGTTTAGGGTTTAGGGCTTAGGGTTTAGGGTTTAGGGCTTGAGCTTAGGGCTTAGGGCTTAGGGTTTAGGGTTTAGGGTTTAGGGTTTAGGGTTTAGGGTTTAGGGTTTAGGGTTTAGGGTTTAGGGTTTAGGGTTTAGGGTTTGAGGGAGTTGTTCAGGGCTGAGCATCGTTCGATTCTTCATCGCGCTAAGCAGAGCACCTTTGAACTGGCATCTCCGGTGAGCGTCTTCCGTTTTGTTGATTTTTCCCCACGCTCGGTGAGTGGCCTCACTCAGACTCAGACCTGAGACCATTCAAGACCCCTACCTAGACCCTCAAATTGCACCTGGTCATGGCCTCGAACTTTAAGCTTACCCTCTATTTGTGTGGCAAGAGGCCTTTCTTCTGGGGTTCTCTGAGGGTTCAAGTAGTAATCCTTGAACCTTCAACTGTGCTTCCAGAGCTGAGGTGACACGACGCTGAATGAGGCCTACAGAGAGAACGCTTGCGACTTCCTGGCGGCCCTCTTTGAAGAGGACAAGGAGCTCGACAAGGCCAAGGAGATGGAGCGCATCGTGGAATCATATCGGAATGGCGAAGGAGGCGTAGTTCAAGCAGCTGATGCGCAACCTCAGTCGCAGATCCCCAGTTCCTTTGCTGTTGCTAGGTCCTTCGATAGCCAGGCCTGCTGGTCAGGTTTCGCAACATGGAGATGGCAGGGAAGACGGTCTCGCCAGCGGCACATCCGAGCGAAGAAGGAGCAGAATATCAGCACACGATTCGAGGGCTACGGAGCAAAAGATGTAGACACCATTAGCAAGGCGAAAGCCATTCCATCTATAGAAGAGGTGCTAGCTCAGCTAGATCAGGAGGATGAAGACGAGCTTTTGTATTGAGCGGGAGAAAAAAGAGTTGCTCCTTTGCTGGCCGCAAGTTTTGCACACGTCTGGGACTCTGCTGTCAGACCAGCGGGGAGCCCCAACGCAGCATCATTCGTTGCATATTTCAGTACACCACACAGAAGCCACATGCGTCTTCTTTTGGTGCAGCGAGTTGCAGTTGTAGGCCAGGCATGTCGACCCAACTCGCTGCGTCACCGAGGCGCTCAGCGGCGCAATGGCTCTCTGGCCTGGGCAACAGCTGTTCGACCAGAAAGGAAAAAATTGGCTGCCAGCTGGGTTTAGGGTTTAGGGTTTAAGGTTTAGGGTTTAGGGTGTGATGATTGTGGCTTCGTGACTGCACCACGCGACAGGCAGCGACATACGCCTTGTCGTCGCCATGTGCACGTTCACCCTTCCCACTGTAAACCCTAAACCCTAAACCCTAAACCCTAAACCCTAAACCCTAAACCCTAAACCCTAAACCCTAAACCCTAAACCCTAAACCCTAAACCGCAGTGCAAGGTGCGAGCAGCTGCGTTCGGCCCTCGGAAGTGAATCCATGCACAGGGCATGCGGAGAGAGTCGGCGAGGGTTTAGGGTTTTGGGTTTTGGGTTTTGGGTTTTGGGTTTTGGGTTTTGGGTTTTAGGGTTTGGGGTCTAGGGTTAGGGCATAGGACCATGTAAGGAAGAAGCCTAGAAGAGTAACGGGTTCAAAGGAGCAGTTGAGACCCAAGCACGCTGCCCCTGGAGCCCTCAATGCTCAACACCTACCTCGTCGCAGATTCCTCTTGCAAACCCTCGATGCATCTCGATGCCACACCTATCCTTGAAGCCATCTGAAGCTGTAGAGGTTGGGCCCTCCGCACTTCGAAAGCTGCGCGCATGCCAACCCTAAACCCTAAACCCTAAACCCTAAACCCTAAACCCTAAACCCTAAACCCTAGAGCTAGAGGCCTGCATAGGTTTCCTTGGAGCTAGAGCCTCGGAAGCTCCAACACCCCGACAGTTACTCCTCCGAAGCCTGCAACCCCCGAACCCTTAGGTTTAGGGTTTAGGGTTTAGGGTTTAGGGTTTAGGGTTTAGGGTTTAGGGTCTAGGGTCTAGGGTTTAGGGTTTAGGTTTAGGGCCTAAGCCCTAAATACCCTAAAACCCTAAGCCCGAAACCGTAAGTGAGCTCAGCGAGGCACGCAGTATGCGCTTTTGGAGGCCGACCACTCCGTTTGGCACCCAGCAAGTTCTGAATACCGAGAGTTCCGGGTTTGGGGGGGGGGGGGGGGTTTAGGGTTTAAGTTTAAGGTTTTAAGGTTTAGGGTTTGCTGGGGTAGGCCTGAACAGATTTTTTACTTTTTATTGCCCCTATTCCCCTGTACAATCCTCATAAAGCCATTAAAATTTACTTCTGATAGGGCCCCTAAACCTTTAGGGTGCATGTGACGTGGGTGTGCTTTGAGAGTTGGGGTCTAAAGACTCAAAACACCATTCTTGAAACTTGACCGGCCTGGAGCAACACCCCACGTCTCCAAATCAGAGCCCGATAATGAGGCAACACATCTGTACTGAAAGCGTTGAACTGTCCTGTGTTGCAATGGCGCAGCAGTGAACGACTCGTCAGGGTGAGGCACGGTTATCTGTTGCTGTTCTTAGGGTTTAGGGTTTGGGGTTTAGGGTTTAGGGTTTAGGGTTTCGGGTCTTTTTTCTCCACCTTGTGGCACAAACCAAGGACCTCACGCTTCGCGCTGAGGAGGCAGTAGCCCAGCAAGCGGCCGGGATCTCAGACTGTCCGGCCCGAGGTTCCGAAGCTTTTAGGGTTTAGGGTTTAGGGTTTAGGGTAGGTCCCAAGAGCCCTATATCCCCCTTGGGGAATTCTTTGTTTTTGTATATATATATAACCCAAGAGTATATTAAGAATACCATTTTTATTAAGGTTCTAAGGGGAGTCTCGGGCCGGCGTTGAACCTGCTCCAGTAGGTTTGGGCAAGTGAGAAACGAGGCTTTGTCTGCAGAACATCAGCGAGTTCTGGGAGAGGCGCGTGCCCCCAGCAGTCATTGAATGGTTGTGGGCCGGGTTTGGGCCACGGTTTTGGGCTTCAGAGCTTAAAGAGGAAGAGCAGACCTGGCTCAGGGTTCAGGGTCCCTGGTTATGAAACTAAAGCCGGCGCCCTCGCCCAAACATCCTTGCTGCTCGTGTGGCCACAGTCTCCGCTGGGGGTTTCCGAAATTAGGGCTATCTTATTGGGGTCCTTAGTGTAAGGGAGTCCTACCATTTGGGGGCTTCTTTTCGGGGCCCCTTATTTCCGTATGTAAGCCCTCATATTGTATCTTCATGCTCCTGTCTGTCCGGGTTCTGAAACAAACAGAGCAGGCCCAAGATTGGCAATGAATTGCCTTGCATGCGTGGCGCAGGCACAGCGCCTTCAAGAACTGCCGCCTCCACAGCAGGAGACATGGCTGGGGGGTGCTCTTGCCCAACTTTTATATAAATTCTGTTTTTGGGGGGTTTCCGAAAACAGGGGTACCCTGTTTTTTGGGTCCCCTTAAAGGAGATGTTATTCTATTGGGGGGTTTCAAGAGGTACCCCTATGTTGGAAAATGCCCTTTTGGCCCTGAACTTACAAAGGTATCTTCGTACTCACTCATGGCGAACATCCCCAAGCATTCTCAAACATTCAACTCCCCTAAACCCTGGTATCGATGGGAGTTGCGGATGAAACCTTCAACCAGAACCCTAAGCCGATTGCTTATGACTGATGGACGCTTGCATCCCTGCAGTGTGGTTGCGAGGCTGCTAGGCGGGCAGCAAAAACCCTAAAACCCTATGGTTTGGGCTGCATCATCTAAGGGGTGGTGGCATGTCGGGGACTGGCCCGCACGGGATGGGGCAGCCCGGGCTAGACAGGTAGTAAAAGCATCTAAAGCAATCAAGATAAGAATCACAATACCCTGAAGAACCTTAAAGCATATTAGAAGTACCAATAACTTTGCGAAACAGATGTAGCCTTTATAGCCTTGATGACCTTAAGAAGCCTCAACATCCTCTTCCTGCAGTCCGACAGCCCACCCCAAACCCGCAGCCGAGTCCTAAAGGAAGTCCTACTTCAAGGTTCCGGGTTTAGGGCTTACCGGGTCGAGGTTTTAGGGCTTATCGGCCCATGGCAGCTGGAGGCACGTAAGCCCTCCGGCAAAAGGGCTTCAATAGGGTTAGAAGCCCCAGGGTTGTCAGTTACCTCACACATAGGCCCTACTTAAGACTGCCCATGAACCTTCAGGAAGCCCGCTCCCCTAGGCAAGCTCCAAGCCCCCGCAGGAACGTGGTTCGGAAATCAGGGTTTGTGGTTTAGGGTTTAGGGTTTAGGGTTTAGGGTTTAGGGTTTAGGGTTTAGGGTTTAGGGCTGTTTCCAGACAGGGGTGCAATTGTCATGCCTGTTTCCCAGCTGATAGTGCAGAGCCTGGGTTCAAAAAAACGGCTAAGGTTTATGATTTAAGGTTCAGGGTTTAGGGTATGAAGGGCTTAGGGTGTCTTGATGAAAAGGAGAGCCTGCGGCCGTGAGGGCCCCGGGACGCTGATGGCCAATCAGACTTTGTGCCTGAACCCTCTCGTGGCCCATACCGTGTTCAGCATGGGTCGTTGTAAGTAGGGTTTCGGGTTTCGGGTTTCGGGTTTCGGGTTTCGGGTTTAGGGTTTAGGGTTTAGGGTGGGTAGTTGTAAGTACAAGTACCTGAATTAAGGTTGCAATAAAGGCGACTTTACCTATCACACTACCCATAAACCTCCTAGTACTCATGCTCTGAATGCCCTCTATCCTGGGATAGCAGGCCATGATTTCTGGGCATTTTGAGGAAACCCTATACCCTGTAAACCCCAATGCCCAGGACCCCAGGGTTGCCCTTGAATTTCCCTATTCCCGAATACGAAGCAGAAGGGTTCCGGGGTTTAGGATTTAGGGTTTAGGGTTTAGGGTTTAGGGTTTAGGGTTTAGGGTTTAGGGCCAGACCCTACACGCTAAACTCTCAAAGGGTTGTGGTCGGGGCGGAAAAGAGGCAAGCAAAGTCGTTGCCAAAGCGGTTGCGAGTCGTAGTTGTGGAATTCTTGCGTTTTTTGGCATCGTTTCGGGATCTGAATCTTGAGGAGTGCTATAACAGTCACAGGAATGGTCGCGATCCGCCTAACTTCGTCGCTGTTGGACCGTCCCCCCATGCGCCCTGGCGTCCTGTCTCCGTAGCGTGTTTTGCGCAGTGTTTCACGTAGTGTCCGTGATGTCGTGTTTGTGATATGTCGTCTTGTCGCAGTTTCGTGTCATGACTTTCACGTCGGGTCCTCGTCTTGTCCTCGCGCGTGTCCTCATGCCGCATCGTCTTGAACCCCGTCTTCATGGCCAAAGTTTACAGCCCAGTGGCCCGTGTCCGCACTCGGGAATAGTAACCAGGACCCAGAGTAGGCCCTCATTACCTTTTTTTAGGGCTTAGGTTTCCTAGCAGACCCCTTTAGACCAACAAGGGCACCCTTATGTACCTAGATGAGTCTTGGGCCTAGAGAACTAATAGTAAGTTGAAGTCCGAAACCCTAAACGCATCCTAAACCCTCAACCCTCAACCCTGAACCCTCAACCCTCAACCCTAAACCCTAAACCCTAACCCCCAAACCCTTTCAGTAGTGCTACTACTGCTGGGGAATGGTCCCGATGATGTGCTGGTTCAGAGTGCAGTCGCGCTCAGCTGCTCAGACTCAGAGACAGCGCCGAGTAAACCCTTGAAGGCCTTTCGGATCTTGCGCCCCTCTGAGGAAGCAGCTTGAAGCGGAGATTGCGCGCCTGCAGGCTGGCAGCTTTGGGCAGCTTGGGAGGGGCGCGCAAAGGGTTAACTAGGCATTTCAGGGTCTGAAGTCTTGGGTTTAGGGTTTAGGGATTAGGGTTGGTTGAGGTTTAGGGCTTAGGTAGGGGTCAGGGTAAGCCCGGATCGAACAAAAACGTTTCGGGTTTGGTTTAGGGTTTCTGATTTCCTGGAGATCTTTGCAGGGCTTTTTGCCTGAAGATTGTCTGCAGGCATGCCCTGGAAACAATCTCGTTTAAGGCCCTTTAGGGTTTTAGGGGTTTAGGCCTTCTTGAACATCTAAAGCCCCCGCATTGTACTTAGGTACCCCCCAAAGACGAACTCGAGCTCAGAGAATCACAAACGAATATGTATGTATATACATATATGTATATACACATATGTGTGTAACACGTATACATAAAGAATACATGTATATATACATATATGTGCAGTCATTGTATCATTTGCGATTACCTTTTTGTGTCTGGTGGCCAGGCAGAGCGTGACGAACTGGCAAAACAGGCCGCCGCCCTTGGCGCGAGTTGAGTCAGCTCAGGAATTAGGAACCCTAAGCCTTAAACCCTAACCTCTAAACCCTATGCCCTACACCCTAAACCCTAAACCATAAACCCTAAACCCCAGCCCTAAACCCTAAACCCAAGGAGAAGGCCCTCCGCCCAAACCGACCCTGCTCCGCAATCTACATGCCCTGCAACGAGCGTCGACATCCCAAAATTCGCCTTCCTAATCTACCCGAGGGCCGTGTAGGGTTTAGGGGTTTATAGGGGTATATAGGGGTTTATAGGGTTTTTTGGGGTTTATAGGGGTTTATAGGGGGTTTATAAGGGTTTACAGGGGTTTATAGGGGTTTATAGGGGTTTATAGGGGTTTATAGTGGTTTATAGGGGTTTACATGGGTTTATAGGGGTTCATAGGGGTTCATAGGGGTTCATAGGGGTTTAAGGTTTAGGGTCTAGGGTTTTAGGGTACACCCTAAACCCTAAACTCTGATTTCCTGAATCCTGCACTCTGAAGCCCAACAAGCAACCCTTGGCCCATCTGGAACCCGAGACTCTAGGGTGAAGGGGTTTAGGGTTCAAGAGAATCATAGAGGGTTCAGTTTCAGCTAGTGTTTAAATCCAGTCCGAAAGGGTAGAGTTGTAAGAGCCCCAAAAGCCCCCCAAATTCTGTTGTCACATGCAACGCCTGTATCCGTGATGTCGCACGTAGAAAGTACAAAGGTTAATTTCGCAGTTGGGTTAGATTAAACCCTGAACCCTAAACCATTAGTTCAGGTTGGTCCCTGCCACAGGCGAAGACACAGGCTGAGTACCATCAGACGAGGCCGCTTGGGCGAAGCGGTGTCCTTGATCCTTCTTTCGTTGGGTTCAGGGTTTAGAGTTCATTGTTGGCTGTCGCTGGCAGTCAGCAGTCCAGCTTCAACAAAGGGTTTAGGCTTAGGGGGGGGGGGGGGGGGGGGGGGGGGGGGGGGGGGACGGGGTACTTAGAACTTGCAAGCAGGACGGACTCCAATTGCTTGAGACTTGCAAAATCCTTGAACTTGAGAGAACCTTCCACTGGTCAATCTAGTCCACTCCAAGCGTGGCGGCGAGATTCCGAGGCTATGGCTTGCGCCCGTCTTGGGCAAGACTGCCAGAGACAGCATGGAAAATCCCTGGAACTTACCCTCAACCCCCCCCCCCCCAAAAAAAAAAAAACAAAACAGAAACAAAGAGCCAAACCCCAGAATAAATCTAAGCCATTCGAAGCCCGTTAAGCCTCTAAACCCCAAAAAACACAGCCTCTACCTAGGTAGGCCCTTGGGACATTTTTTTAATTTTCCCTTATTGGGTTTAAGAGGGTCATATTCAGGAATAAACCCTAAACCCTAAACCCTAAACCCTAAACCCTACACCCTAAATATTTTTCAGAGGGTGTTAAGGGCCATCCTAGCTACGAAGCGTGCCATGAGGCAAGAGGATCTCCGGGCCGATGCCGACCGCTTGCGCGCCGGGCACCCGAGGGCGGAAGGTTTTAGGGTTTAGGGTTTAGGGTTTAGGGTTTAGGGTTTAGGGTTGAGGGTTGAGGGTTGAGGGTATAAATTTAGGGTTTAGGGTTTGGGGGCCACGTTGATTCAACAGTTTTGCTCCAGCAGAAGAGCCAAGAGACGCTAAAGGCCTCTGACTTACCTTAACGCCATGTTGGAAGCCCTGATGCTTTTTCGTCAGGACCACTCTACAACTACTTGATCGACTGTACGGCTCGCGGTGAGCTTGCTCAAGCCCCCCCCCCCCCGGCACAAACTGCAGCGTTCGACTGCTGTTTGAAGGTTCATGAGTAGTGGTAACCGATAGTCTAACCTCGATGAGCGAGGGTACTTCTACCCCTACTAATACTACCTACCCATGAACCGTCAAGTGTTGCTGCTTGAGGATGAGAACTTTGCGCGCGCCGACGAATGGAAGGTCCTCGTGTTGCAGCCCCAGCTGCGTGAAAGAGCTCGGATTCTGAACTTGTGGCTTCAATCGCAACTTTAATTCACGAAAACTACGTGGCGGTCTTGCTTTACCTCCCTTGATCTAGGTAGAGCACAAAAGCCCCGAAACCTTAAGCCTTAAACCTTAAACCCTAAACCTTAAACCTTAAAGCTCAAACCTTAAACCCTCGGCTGCCTTGTGGATCACCATGGCCCTAGGGACGATTGACTGTGTGCCTCGCCTGGTTCGCCCGAGTATGAGCGAGTAAACCCTACACGAAGCCATTTGGAGAACCAAGCGCACATGGGGCTTCGGGTTTAGGGTTTAGGGTTTAGGGTTTAGGGTTTAGGGTTTGGGGTTTAGGGTTTAGGGTTTAGGGTTTAGGGCAATCGAGTTTCTGACCCCTGCTAAGGGCAGAGCTTGCGGATCTCCGAGCCAGTTTGGGGCCCAGATGTTCATGTGCGGGTAGTCTCAGATCGGCATTTCCCAAGATAGGGGTACCCCTAGTAGACTTTCAAAATACCAAAATACGACAACCCATAAAATGCCCGAATTCCCCCCCCCCCCCCCCCCTCCCCCGAAAAAAGGGGTGCAGCTTCCACACTTCCACACTGAGTCACCACAGGAAGATGACTGTAACCCGAAACCCGGCTTCTAAACCCCTAGACCCCCAAACCCCCTAAACGAGGCCGGACTGCCATGGAGTCCAAGTGTGACGGCTTGACAGCCCAGGCAGTTGACGACTCGAGGGTTTCAGCCGAAGCCCTAAACCCTAAACCTTAAACCGCCAGAGCTTCTAGACCCCAAACCCCAAACCCTAAACCCTAAACCCTAATCTCAGTTTTCTGAGAGGAAGGAGCTGTATTCGTCGTTTGTTCGACAGAGGGGTGGGGGAGCTAGATATATGCTTAAAGGTTTATGGGTAGTTGGGGTCGGGGTTTTTAAGCAAGGCAACCTAAGCAGCCCATACTAAAATCCTTGTACTTACGGTACGTATAGCCTACCCATGAACCTTCCGAACCCTAAACCCTGAATCGCGATGTTGGCTGATCGTGGTCTGACCATCAGGCTAATTAGAAGCAACTGGTCTATGTCTATTTCTCATCCCAACCAAGCCAAATTTCGCAGTTGTCATTCTGCAGAAGTATATAGAGCCATAGAACTGCTAAGCAGCAAAGCCCCACCCCCCCTCCCCCCCAAACTTCTGTCTGTTTCACAAGCATAGTGTGCCTGGCAGGTGAAGACGCTCGATGAAGAAGGCCAGAAGCAGCAAAGGCACAGCGTTTTGGGGTTTGGGTCTCGGGGGTGGATTCTCAAGTCGAAGAAGTCGTGTGGACCCTTGCTGCAAAGAGTCCCGCATTCGGTTTTTTTCATCTTTTTCGAAGTATCATCGCACACACACCTTGCCTGAGCTCCAAACCCTAAACCCCTCAAACTCGAAGCCTTGATACTGGCGAGCAGGCTCGCCGACAACTTTCGGAAGGAGCTCGGAGCTCAAGCTTTGTCCTGTTTGCAGCTAAACTAAACTGCATATGCTAAGTTGGCATTATGGATCTGGTCTTTTGATCGCCCTCGGCCCTCAACTCTAAACCCTAAACCCTGAAGTGTTATATCATGACTGCGATTGGATTGTGCCGATGAAGCCCTCGAGACGCCACGGTGAGAGTCGATACCCTACGTGGAGGGCCATGGGAAGTTAGCAGTCAGGTTAGAAGTACCGCCACATACCATGTACTCTCAAGTAGGGCACTTCTAACCCTACTTATATCTACCCGTCAACCTTTCAAGCAGAAGTGCACAACGAAGCCTAAACCCTAGCTACTTCTATCTACCCGCCAACCTTTCAGGCAGAAGTGCACAACGAAGCCTAAACCCTAGACCCCCCGCAAGGTCTGAGATGCTGAAAGGCGACATACAGAGGCTGCAGAAGTCCGCCCGCGGCCTCGGAAAGTTTGCAAGGTGTCAGTCTAGAAGGGTGTAGGGTTTAGGGTTTAGGGTTTAGGGTTTAGGGAGAGTTTAGGTGAGGGTTTCGAGAGTCCAGGGCTTAGGGTTCAGGGTTAAGGATTTCGAGGCCTGGCGATGTGGAGCTCGTTTGCCAGGGTCTGGTAGCGGGCTCTCAGGTTACCCGAGACCGTAAACTCCAAATAAATCGGGTTGCGGGTGCAATGGCTGAGGAGGAGGGGCTTCGGGGGTTTAGGGCTTAGGGTTTAGGGCTTCGGGCTTAGGGTTGAGGGTTTAGGTTTAGGGTTTAGGGCCAACAGGCCGTCCTTGGTCAACTTTCAGCTTCGGCTCTGCACGAAGCCCGAGCAACGCGCGTTGAGCCCCCTCAAAGCGCCTGTGACCGTTTAGGACTCGGTTTTTGCTTCTGAAGAGTTCAGAACTGTTTTGAAGGCCTAAACCCTAAACCCTAAACCCTAAACCCTAAACCCCAAACCCTAAACCCTAAACCCTAAACCACGCCCAAACCCTTGCAAGCGCACTTGGGCTCCATAGACCCTGGTTGAAGTGTGGCCGTGCTGCAAGAGACTCGCGGACTCAATCAATACTCGCCTGGGCACGAAAGCTAAACCCCTGCACCCCAAACCCTGAGCACGGCCGGGTTTAGGGTTTAGGGTTTAGGGTTTAGGGTTTAGGGTTTGGGGTTTGGGGTTTAGGGTTTAGGGTTTAGGGTTTAGGGTTTAGGGTTTAGGGTTTAGGGTTTAGGGGCAGCGCACGCGGGCAGAGCCAAGCTCAACGACGTCAGCGGCCCCGCGCAAGTTCTTTTGAACAGAACTTGCGGTCCGCCCGGCTTGCGCTTGCTTTTGGGAACTTGGGCTGTGAACCCTAAACCCTAAACCCTAAACCCTAACCCTAAACCCTAAACCCTAAACCCTAAACCCTAAACCCTAAACCCTAAACCCTAAACCCTAAACCCTAAACCCTAAACCCTAAACCCTAAGCCGTCCGAGGTGCTTGATGCAGCAACTGAACAACAGGCGGCTGCAGAGCAGGCCTCCTCTCGGTGTGTGCAACCTTGAGCTGACATGCTATGTAGGGTTCAGGGTTTAGGGTTTAGGGTTTAGGGTTTAGGGTTTAGCGTTTAGGGTTTAGGGTTTAGGGTTTAGGGATTTCAATTTTTTAGGGTTTACATAGGGTGTCCGGAATTAGGGGTATCTCATTGGGGACCTTAGTAAAAGGGAATCCTTTTCTTTGGGGGGTCTATTCACGGTCCATGTTCTTCGTAACCGTCATGTGGACACAAAGTCTGGCATCGTTTACTGAACTTCGTTAGGCCGTCTGGTCCTGCACTCTAGCAGATGCCGGGAGATACCGGTGCAAGTTATGACTTGATTTGTTCCGCTGGATTGGGCAGCTCGTTGAACCTTTGCTTACGCACAGTGGCCACGCAGATCCAAAGCAGTGACCGAACATCACACCTCAAACACGACCGGCACAGAGAGACGGCCTGGCCTAGCCCCCGTGAGAAAGAAAGAGTGCCAGCCATGCAGCGCGCCATCCGCACCTGCATTATGCGAGGCAAGGCCAGACCGGTTGTCAAGTGCTACAGCGCACCCCCAAACCTGCATGTAGGTGTCTGTCTGCTAAGTTCCCAAGAAGCCCTGCACCCTAAACCCTAAAGCCCTGCACCCCCAAAAGGCGGCACCAGCAAGGGCATCTTTCTCCTTGCGGCCGACCTGCCTCCTCCTGGACCGAACCTGGGCTGGCAAGCACCGGGGTTTAGGCTTTGGGGTTTAGGGTTTAGGGCTAGGGTTTAGGGTAAACCCTAAACCCTAAACCCTAAAGGACCTTCGGAACTAGACTATTATGTGTCTTACCCCAACCTTCAAACATGTTGACCTGTGACTCTTCTCTCTTCTCTTTTCTGGCGGGGTGGGGGGGGGGGGGCTTGAGGGTTTAGGGTTTAGGGTTTGGGGTTTGGGGTTAGGGTTTAGGGTTTAGGGTTTAGGGTTTAGGGTTTAGTGTTTAGGGTTTAGGGTTTGGGGCAACCGGACCTGTGGCTTGGGATGTTCCCCCTTATACTAGCCGTCCTTAGTAGGGATTATAGTCAGGTACTAAGTAGCCCCGATTCGAATCCCTATGAGGGACTGTTAGTTTAAGGGGGGGAACATCCCAACCTATGACTCGTATCCTCATCTTTGGTTCCCTAAACCCTAAACCCTAAACCCTAAACCCTAAACCCTAAACCCTAAACCCTAAACCCTATTTGGGACAACCAAAGAGACTCCTCATGCTAAAAGAGGCAGCGAGACGCTGTGATCCTCCGCCTTTTTGGGTCACCCGACCCGCGGCAGCGACATGGCCAAAGGGTACTTTGAGGGTTTAGGGTTTAGGGTTTAGGGTTTAGGGTTTAGGGTTTAGGGAGAGAGAAGCGAATATCTATCTTCCTTCATTCCGGTCATCTGTTGGGCCACATGGCTTCTCACTCCTTCACTTTGGCTGTGTTTCTTGTTGCCTCGCATGCGGAGGATTGACGGGCTCGGTGGCGCAGATACTCTGACCAGCAAGCTCGTCTCCAGCTTGAATTTCGATTGACCATTCTTGTTGCCGCTAGCGTCAGTCTGTTCATGCCTGATATGTACTGAAAGCCACGGGCAGATGTCAGGGTCGCCGCTTCTGCCGTTTGAGGCATATCCCAGCATGGTCAACTGAGTCTTTCCATTCTCAGGCAATCATTGCTCCGCCATCGATACCAACAGCAGCCGCCCAGCTCGTTTATCTAGGTAGTAGCTTGAGAAATGCCTCCCCGAAACCCCTCAACACAAAACCCCCAACCCCAAACCCTGAATCCCAACCGAAATCCTCGGCCCCGTAATCCCTGCCATAGTTTTCTCGAAGTATGGGTGCCTCATGCGTGAGCTCGTCCTTTCGGGCGCGCGTAGGTATACGTGATAAATTTTCAACTCCAGAGACAAATTCCAAGCTCCAAGTACTGTTGCCTCGTGCTTCTCGCGCTCTTCTGGGCAATCTGTGTGAAACCCTAAACCCTGCACCCTAAACCCTGCACCCTAAACCGTAAACCCTAAACCCTAAACCCTAAACCCTAAACCCTAAACCCTAAACCCTAAACCCTAAACCCTAAACCCTAAACCCTAAACCCTAAACCCTAAACCCTAAACCCTAAACCCTAAACCCTAAACCCTAAACCCTAAACCTAAACCTAAACCCTAAACCCTAAACCCTAACCCTAAACCCTAAACCCTAAACCCTAAACCCTAAACCCTAAACCCTAAACCCTAAACCCTAAACCCTAAACCCTAAACCCTAAACCCTACACCCTAAACCCTAAACCCTAAACCCTACACCCGAAACCCTGAACCGCCTAAGCAGGCCATACGCTTAAGAGGCAACCTCTGGCGACCTTCTGATTCTTCTTACTACTGATTGCTTCAGAACCCCCAAAAAACAAAGATGTTCTTCCTGATTCAGGGTCATATAGGGGTTATTTTATTTTTATTTATTTTTTTTTTTTTGGGGGGGGGGTTCTTAAGCAATTAGTAGCTCAGGGTTGGGATTCGGGGTTGCTTTGCTCGCTAAGCTAAAGAATTGGTAGCCCAGCGTTGTGCTTCCTTACCTTTTTGGGGGGGTCAAGGTTCCCTTATACAGTAACCAACCCCAAGAAAGTGTACCCTTTATGAGAAAATATGGTTACTGGGCTACCAAGTGTATTGGTATGGCAAGAGAGGGAGCTCAGCAAAAGCTTGCCAGTGGGATGCCACGCCTCCGCTTCCATGGGTTTGCTGTACCTCTGAGACAGCAGATGGCAGGGATTCTGGTTTTGAAGCAAAATCGTATATTACTAACACAAGCACGTCCTTGTATAAATATTCATGATAGAACAAGATACAGCAAGAATGAGCCGCTCAGGATGTTGATTACACCTTCGGCCAAGTCTCCTTCGTCGACGCCAAGGCACGCCTTGCCTGTGAGCGAAAAAGGGCGAGGAATGCCGGTTATCTGCTTTAGGGTTTAGGGTTTAGGGTTTAGGGTTGGTGAGAGTTTTCCTGCTTTTCTTAAAAACCCTACAAAATAGTTGGTTAGAACCAAACATCGGGCTTAACCGCCCAACAACTGTAGGCAAACGGAGCTTCAGGTAGACAAAAACACGTATTCTATCACTGAGTGGCCACCAGGAGCAAACAGATGCATGTAGTGCCGATGCTCCCCACTCCGCTTTTGCATCATGGCACAAGAAAACGTTTAAGGTTTAGAGTTTAGGGTTTAGGGTTTAGGGTTTAGTGTTTTCGGTTTTGGATGTCTGGCGTCGAGGACTGCCCGGCAAAACTCGCCGAAATCCTTTTGTGATAGGCCCCTGGCCATACTCCAGGCGTTTAACATCGTTTCACACCATGCCCATGGCGGGTACACTGGCTTTAAGCACCCTAAACGCTAAACCCGAAACCCTAAACCCTTGACTCCAGCACTTCTCATGCAGGTTGACTATGGAGGCAACTGCGGCAACCTGCTTGCAAGAGTGGGCTTGCAGGATTCTGGGCTTTAGGGCTTAGGTTTAGGGGCTTTTCTTGATCTCCGATGCCCACTGCTTAGAGAGCCCTCCATGCCAAATGAGCCATGAGATTTCGGAAATCCTTGCAGCTACGCACATTCTGCAGCTGAGGCAACATCTCCTCTGCCGTCGGTCCTTTCGCAGTGGATAAAGGGCTGATTCAGATCCCCCATGATGGGCAACTCAGAAGCAAGTAGAACGGAGCAAAGTCACATACATGTTCGGGACTAGACGGCCTGCTTCGTCGGCTTTCCTACCTAGCCACCTCAGCCTGAGACTCACGCCACGTCGCGCATGCCAGGCTTGCTTAGCCAACAGTTGAACTTTTCACTTTTTTGGGGGTTTCCTTATTTGCAATTTAGTAGGAATACTACACTACTACAGTTCAACCTTTTTCCCCCCTAAAGCCCTCAACCCTAAACCCTCTTCTTTCTCAATTTTTGGAGAAGTAAGCAGGAGAACCCATGTTGTGAAGATCCACAACACCAACACCGGGGCTTTGCTGCAGTCGACGGTGCACCTCTCCGAGCCTCAGCTTCAGGGTTTAGGGTTTAGGGTTTAGGGTTTAGGGTTTAGGGTTTAGGGCTCAACCCATTGAGGCCATGGGGGGGACCCTTGTCCACACTAAACTATTTCGGGTGTAGGGAGGGCCCTGCGTCGTCTTTTGAAAATTTTGCGCCAGCACCGGTTGCGGCAAACCCCTAAATCCTAAGCCCGAAACCCCCCCAAAACAATAATGCATTCCTGTGACTGCAGGCTTTCAGCAAGCCTACGGGCAGGTTGCCTACAGGCCTGCCCAGGCCCCAATGGTAGCCCACAGGACAACAGTAGGCCTACGTACAGGCTACCCACAGACCCACCACAAGCCGATCACGGCTGCCCTTTCTCGTAACCTACCCACAGGCCTACATTTTACAGGCTACCCAGGCCTGCCTCTGTAGGTAGCCTACGTTGCAGTCACCCTGAATAGTGAGGGCCCGTTGAGGGAGCCTTTCGCGCATGCCAAGCCCTGTCAAGGAAGAAAAAGCTTCCATGGTCGAGGGCGACGTCCAGATTGCTGGGGCGCCTTGTCTATTTCTGTGCACCCGAACACCCACGTGGAGATGAACATCACATCAAAAGAAGGGTAGGTTGGGGCGAAAGGCAACACCCAGACAATTCCAGGTGTTTGGGGGCTGGGTTTAGGGATATCCGGCTTTCTGGGATGGCCTGGCTGCCCCACCCACACCCCCGAACACTCACGCCATTCTTTGGGAGTAACTCCTTGTGCCCTGAAGCCCTTCAACCTTCTAGGGTTTAGGGCTTCAGTGTTGAGGGTTTGGGGTTTAGGGCTTCAGTGTTTAGGGTTTAGGGTTTAGGGTTTAGGGTTTAGGGTTTAGGGTTTAGGGTTTAGGGTTTAGGGTTTAGCGCCCCTTCGGGTCCGCAATCGAGCTGGAGGTGCCAGGTTCTGGCGCACCTGTCGATCTCGACTTCTCTGCCACCTTG